AGGAGTGAGGAAGAGCCAGTTGTGAGTGTGGGGGAAGTTCGTGAGGCAGTAGGTAAATGAAAGGGGGTAAGGCAGCCGGGATTGATGGGATAAAGATAGAAATGTTAAAAGCAGGTGGGGATATAGTTTGGAGTGGTTGGTGCAATTATTTAATAAATGTATGAAGAGGGTAAGGTACCTAGGGATTGGCAGAGAGCATGCATAGTTCCTTTGTATAAAGGCAAAGGGGATAAAAGAGAGTGCAAAAATTATAGGGGGATAAGTCTGTTGAGTGTACCTGGTAAAGTGTATGGTAGAGTTATAATTGAAAGAATTAAGAGTAAGACGGAGAATAGGATAGCAGATGAACAAGGAGGCTTTAGGAAAGGTAGGGGGTGTGTGGACCAGGTGTTTACAGTGAAACATATAAGTGAACAGTATTTAGATAAGGCTAAAGAGGTCTTTGTGGCATTTATGGATTTGGAAAAGGCGTATGACAGGGTGGATAGGGGGGCAATGTGGCAGATGTTGCAAGTGATATGGTGTAGGAGGTAGGTTACTGAAAGCAGTGAAGAGTTTTTACGAGGATAGTGAGGCTCAAGTTAGAGTATGTAGGAAAGAGGGAAATTTTTTCCCAGTAAAAGTAGGCCTTAGACAAGGATGTGTGATGTCACCGTGGTTGTTTAATATATTTATAGATGGGGTTGTAAGAGAAGTAAATGCGAGGGTCTTGGCAAGAGGCGTGGAGTTAAAAGATAAAGAATCACACACAAAGTGGGAGTTGTCACAGCTGCTCTTTGCTGATGACACTGTGCTCTTGGGAGATTCTGAAGAGAAGTTGCAGAGATTGGTGGATGAATTTGGTAGGGTGTGCAAAAGAAGAAAATTAAAGGTGAATACAGGAAAGAGTAAGGTTATGAGGATAACAAAAAGATTAGGTGATGAAAGATTGAATATCAGATTGGAGGGAGAGAGTATGGAGGAGGTGAACGTATTCAGATATTTGGGAGTGGACGTGTCAGCGGATGGGTCTATGAAAGATGAGGTGAATCATAGAATTGATGAGGGAAAAAGAGTGAGTGGTGCACTTAGGAGTCTGTGGAGACAAAGAACTTTGTCCTTGGAGGCAAAGAGGGGAATGTATGAGAGTATAGTTTTACCAACGCTCTTATATGGGTGTGAAGCGTGGGTGATGAATTTGCAGCGAGGAGAAGGCTGGAGGCAGTGGAGATGTCATGTCTGAGAGCAATGTGTGGTGTGAATATAATGCAGAGAATTCGTAGTTTGGGAAATTAGGAGGAGGTGCGGGATTACCAAAACTGTTGTCCAGAGGGCTGAGGAAGGGTTGTTGAGGTGGTTCGGACATGTAGAGAGAATGGAGCGAAACAGAATGACTTCAAGAGTGTATCAGTCTGTAGTGGAAGGAAGGCGGGGTAGGGTCGGCCTAGGAAGGGTTGGAGGGAGGGGTAAAGAGGTTTTGTGTGCGAGGGGCTTGGACTTCCAGCAGGCATGCGTGAGCGTGTTTGATAGGAGTGAATGGAGACAAATGGTTTTTAATACTTGACGTGCTGTTGGAGTGTGAGCAAAGTAACATTTATGAAGGGATTCAGGAAACGGCAGGCCGGACTTGAGTTCTGGAGATGGGAAGTACAGTGCCTGCACTCTGAAGGAGGGGTGTTAATGTTGCAGTTTAAAAACTGTAGTGTAAAGCACCCTTCTGGCAAGACAGTGATGGAGTGAATGATGGTGAAAGTTTTTCTTTTTCGGGCCACCCTGCCTTGGTGGGAATCGGCCGGTGTGATAATAAAAAAAAAATAAAAATAGATTAGATTTAGATTTTGCCACCGAAGTGGCTAGTTTATTGTACACCCCATATCCATCCTGCGGACGGTAGCGCAAGAGCATATGGATACACAAAAGGCCTAGGAACTAGGCCCCAAAGGGTTAACAGGAATACATATGGATTTATATCTACATATCTATAGTTCACTTATCTGTTACAAGCAAATTTAGGAAATTTGCTTAGTATATCTGGTATCTTATTTTCATTAATAAGATATCTTGACATGTCACATAGGTTATTATACTGTCTGTCTCTGTATTCCTCAATAAGTGGACAATTAAGCACATAGTGTTCAAGAGAGTGACCATATGCCTGATCACATAATTTACATTTAGTTTGATCATCATCTGTGTGTCTCCCAAACTGCCAGAAGTACTTCTAACCAAGCCTAAGCCTGGCCACTACAACATCAGTCAGTCTGTTCACATTGCAAGTTGCTCCATAAACATACTTATCTACGTTCATGTTATCATAGTGGGTTATAGATCTACTCAGGCTTCTAACTGCATTCCTATAACAATCATTTTCATTATTTACTTCTCTCCTAATATTATTCCTAATGCTAGACACAGTTATACCAAAGTTATATTCTACATTCTCCTTCTGGGCACTCTTCTTGGCTAACATATCAACTTTATCATGAAGGAGTAATCCAATGTGTGATGGGATCCATAGCAATTGTACATTAATTCCTTTGTCCCTAATTTTTGAGTATCTATACCTGGCTTCCCCAATGAGCATGTTGTTGGAGTCATTATATGAGTCAAGAGCCTTCAATGATGACATAGAATCAGTAATGATGATAGAGTCAAGCTCAGTGTCACAGGTTAGCTTTAGCGCCATTAGGATTGCAAACAATTCAGTTTGCAGTGTAGATGCCCAGTTGTTAATTCTTATGCCTAACTCAACAAATTTATTATCATTCTTAACTAGGGAGGTGGCAACAAGAGCAGATGCAGCCCTGCCAGAAGACTCCTGTTTAGATCCATCAGTGTATACAATTTGTGATAACTTATTACTACCGGCTAGGTGAGAAATTTCTTCTTGAGCAGTTGCTCTAACAAGAGATTTAAGGAAGGGATTACTAGCAATGAGCTTCTTGGGAGGGACTTGTAGGTATGTGATATTAAATGAACACATCTTCCATGGAGGGGTGAAATGCTCTTGTTGCCTACAGTGATACAGTTCATGTAGGTTATAAAACTTAATGCAATTGCACGTTTTCACAATCCATTTAGATCTGTGTGTATTTACCTCTAGACACTTGGTAAGATTCACTGTGACAGTGTCTGGTTCGTTTCTCAACATTCTAATACCGAGTACAGTGTTAATTTCAACAATCCTATCACTGATACTAGAAATACCAAGCTCCTTCCTCATGTTAAGAACTTTTGTAGATCTGGGACAGCCAAGAATAATCCTGAGAGCTTCATTTTGCATTAACTCCAAGGGTCGGAGAGAACTTTCTCTAGCTAATATCAACACGGGAGCAGCATAATCAATTAAGGACCTAACATAGGCTATGTACATCATTCTCGCGATTCTCGCATTAGCACCATAGTTGGGATTGTAGCCAGCAACAACTTTGAGAGCATTTAGCCTAGCTTTGCATTTCTTGTTTAGTTGTGGTATAGTGGATTTGTTAAAGGGTACATCTACACCAAGATATCTGTAAGTTTTAACGTAGCTAATGATTTCACCCTGCAAATAGATGGGTGGGGGATGTCGTTTGCTTGTTAAGATCTTTGTTTCAGAGGAAGATATTATGAGGCCTAGTCGATTACAAATTGCTTGAACTTCATTAAGAATGGTATTCATCTTCTTATGCCCTGTTGTATGGATCATGATATCATCAGCATAGCTTATAGCTATATGTTTAGGTGAGGCAGGTAGAGCATTTAGGAGAGCATTAATCAGAATATTAAATAGCATGGGACTAAGAACTCCTCCCTCCGGTGTACCTAAAGACATTTCTTTAGAATCACTTCTGAAGCCTTGGTAAAGGACAGAGGATACTCTATTTGACAGGTATCCTATTATCCAGCAGAGTAAGCTACCACCAATATTCATTTTGGCTAGTTCATGTACTATAACGGTTCTGTTCGCAATATCAAATGCAGATTTTAGATCAAAAAAAGTGGTAAAACTAGTAGAGGTGTGTGCAGTGAGAAAGGTGGAAATACAGTTCTGCACACTTTTACCTTTCATGAACCCATAGAGGTAGGGGGAAAGTTGGTGTCTGATTCTGTGGTACAGTCTGTTAAGTATCATTCTTTCAAAAGTTTTACAAAGACAACTAGTTAAGGAGATCGGCCTAAATGTATCAGGCTGTTGGGGCTTAGGGATAGGCACAATGAGACTATTGGTCCAGGAAGTAGGAAGAACGCCCTCAATGTAACTGATATTATACAGTGCCAACAAAGGGTTATCAGGCACATGCCTTAGAGTTCTGAGAATATCATAGGTTATACCATCCTCTCCAGGAGCAGTTGATCGACCTTTGGTTAATGCATTATCTAATTCATACTCGGTAAAGAGGCAATCACTCTCATCAATATTTTGGCTCATAAAATTAATCAGTTTCAACATTTCTTCAGAAGTACTCTCTAAATTTTTTTCTAATATGAGATGGAAGGCTTTCATGCCTGGATGTTTTGGACCAGTCATTTATGAGGTCATTTGCTTTTTCAAGAGGAAAGGGATGAGCAACATTGGCAGTCTTTCTCCTGGTTATTTTATTTATACCTTTCCAAGCCAAACTCAAAGGGGTGGACCTATTTAATCCACTAACAAACTGTTCCCATTCCTGTTGCCTAAGTTCTTCCTTTCTATTCCTTGCATTTGTTAGTGCAGCTTGGAACGTTCTGAGCAGGTCTGGGGTTCTACATTCACGGTATGCTTTACCAATCCTCCTAGCTGCATGTGTTAGATTGCGTAGCTGTGGATCGTTATAGTGCATTACCATGTAAGAATAAATTATTATTTTTAAGTGTATTTCAGTGTTGCCTAACTGTTATTTTAAATTTGTGTTATTTTAAGACATGATAAGTATGTCCCACATATATTTTTAACAGAGTATATATTTCTCTTGGGTTTTCCTGCTGAAGGGACCAGCATAAGAGGTATTACAAGACAAGATTTTCTTAAAATGCCTTTAAAACATTTCACATTGCTTTGTATTCCCTCTTATACATGAGTTATCATATGATGTACTAGGTCAGTTTTGTGGGAAAAATTTTCCGGACACCTTGAACATTGATATGCTTGTTCTGTGTTGTGATCTTTCAAGTGATTTTCAAATTTTAATTTTTGTGAAAAGCTTTGTGAGCACCATGAACACGTGTATGTTTTTTCCCCCTTATGAATTTTTTCATGCAATAATAAACTTGCTTTTCTTGAAAAGCCTTCCTGACACACTGAACACTTGTATGGTGTTTCCCTTGTATGAATTTTAAAATGTTCTTCTAAACTTTCTTCTACTGAGAAGCTTTCCTGACACACTGAACACTTGTATGGTGTTTCCCTTATATGAATTTTAAAATGTTCTTCTAAACTTTCTTCTGTTGAGAAGCTTTCCTGACACACTGAACACTTGTATGGTGTTTCCCTTATATGAATTTTAAAATGTTCTTCTAAACTTTCTTCTGTTGAGAAGCTTTCCTGACACACTGAACACTTGTATGGTGTTTCCCTTATATGAATTTTAAAATGTTCTTCTAAACTTTCTTCTACTGAGAAGCTTTCCTGACACACTGAACACTTGTATGGTGTTTCCCTTATATGAATTTTAAAATGTTCTTCTAAAATTTCTTCTGTTGAGAAGCTTTCCTGACACACTGAACACTTGTATGGTGTTTCCCTTGTGTGAATTTTAAAATGTTCTTCTAAACTTTCTTCTGTTGAGAAGCTTTCCTGACACACTGAACACTTGTATGGTGTTTCCCTTATATGAATTTTAAAATGTTCTTCTAAACTTTCTTCTGTTGAGAAGTTTTCCTGACACACTGAACACTTGTATGGTGTTTCCCTTATATGAATTTTAAAATGTTCTTCTAAACTTACTTCTGTTGAGAAACTTTCCTGACACACTGAACACTTGTATGGTTTATCATCTTTATGAAGTGTCATGTGCTGAACTAAAAGAGAGTTGCTTGAAAATATTTCATGACACTCAAGGCACTCATGTATTTTTTCTACAGTATGAATCCTCATGTGTTTCACTAAAGAAGATTTCTCTGAGAACCGTTTTATACACACGAAGCACTTGAGTGGCTTCTCTCCAGTATGAATTCTCATGTGGGAAGTGAGGCGATCATTTTCTGTAAAGTCTTTTTGGCACACTGAACACTGAAATGGCTTCTCTCCAGTATGAAAGCGCATATGTTTTACCAGAGAACCTTTTTCTGTAAATAATTTTGTACACACTGCACACTGATATGGCTTCTTTCCAATATGTCGTTTCATATGTGAAGTCAGGTAATACTTGCGTCCAAAGTCTTTATAACACACTGAACACTGATAGGGTTTCTCTCCTGTATGAATTCTCTCATGCTTTTTGAGAACATATTTATTAATAAAGTTTTTCAGACACACTGAACAATGATAAGATTTCTCTCCTTCATGAACCTTCTGATGTTCATATAGTGAGGATTTATTAAAGAAGTTTTTGAGACATTCAGGGCACTGATATTGCTTCTTTCCTGTATGAATTCTTTCATGATTATTTAATGCAGTTTTGCCACTGAAGTCTTTCAGACACACTGAACACCGATATGGTTTATGTCCAATATGAATTTGCTGATGTGTATTTAGTGAAGATTTAATACTGAAATTTTTCAGACACACTGAACACTGATATGGCTTCTCTCCTGTATGAATTCTCTGATGTTGTTTCAGTGAGTATTTAAGAAGAAAGTCTTTCTGACACACTGAACACTGATGTGGTTTATCTCCTGTATGAATTCTCTTATGTTGATTTAGTGAAGATTTATCCTTGAAATCTTTCAGACACACTGAACACTTATATGGCTTCTCTTCTGTATGAATGCTCTCATGTTGTTTTAGTAAGTATTTATTCCTAAAGTCTTTCTGACACACTGAACATTGATATGGCTTCTCTTCTGTATGAATTCTCAGATGTTTATTTAGTAAGCATTTATCCCTGAAATCTCTCTGACACACTGAACACTGATATGGCTTCTCTCCTGTATGAATGCTCTCATGTTGTTTTAGTGAGTATTTCTTCCTAAAGTCTTTCTGACACACTGAACACTGATATGGCTTCTCTTCTGTATGAATTTTCTCATGCTCTTTTAGTGAGGATTTCTTCCTAAAATCTTTCTGACACACTGAACACTGATGTGGCTTCTCTCCTGTATGAATTCTTTTATGTTCCTTTAATGAGGATTTACTGATAAAACCTTTCATACATTCTGAACACTGATATGGCTTCTCTCCTGTATGAATTTTTACATGTTCCTTTAATAAGGATTTATTGACAAAACCATTCAGACACACTGAACAAAGATATGGCTTCTCTCCTGTATGAATACTGTTATGTCTTATGAGTCTATAATTAGTTGGAAAAACTTTTTCACAAATAGGACACTGATGGAGATTACTTACTACCTCCATGTTGGCTTTATTTTATTTCAAGTTTTAACACTCAATAAACCAGCAATTCATTGTATGGTATGCACTACTTCACATAACAACAGACTTATTGTACTGCATATTTTATATTCTCTCTCTCTACTGGCATTTAATACAGTCTCCAACATAGACTTTTAAAAAGTATAAGAATATTGACAACTGATGGATAATTCTTTTCATATAAACTCTTGTAACCAATACAAATTTATGTGAAAAAAAATCACAAAAATCACAGAGAGATTTGTATTCACTATCAAAAACTTCAATGCATTTTTTTGTGTTTGTAAATTTTAATAATGTATTAAATTTCAGTAATGTGTGAGCTCTTTTCTCCTTAACTAATATTATTTTAAATTCCTTGGTACAAAAACTGAAACAGATGTTTAAAACGAGTTTTAAAAATGTATGGAATATTCTGATAGAGCAATAATGATGTTTAAGTGGGTGCTGGTGTAAGTGGTGTAAGTTGTTAAGTTGGTGCTGGTGTAGGTGGTGTAAGCTGTTAAGTTGGTGTTGGTGTAGGTGGTGTAAGCTGTTAAGTGGCTGCTGGTGTAGGTGGTCCAAGTTAATTGGGAGCTGGTGTAGGTCGTGTAAGTTAAGTGGGAGCTGGTGTAGGTGGTGTAAGTTGTTAAGTGGCTGCTGGTGTAGGTGGTGTAAGAGGGTGCTGGTGTAGGTGGTCCAAGTTAATTGGGAGCTGGTGTAGGTGGTGTAAGTTAAGTGGGTGCTGGTGTAGGTGGTGTAAATTAAGTGGGTGCTGGTGTACGTGGTGTAAGTTGGTGCTGGTGTAGGCGGTGTATATTAAATGGGAGCTGGTGTAGGTGGTGTAAGTTAATTGGGAGCTGGTGTAGGTGGTATAAGTTAAGTGGGTGCTGGTGTAGGTGGTGTAAGTGGCTGCTGGTGCAAGTGGCTGCTGGTGCAGGTGAGTCCTGGTGTAAGTGGGTGCTGGTGCAGGTGGTGTAAGTGGGTGCTGGTGTAGGTGATGTAAGTAAGTCCTGGTGTAGGTGGTGTAAGTAGGTGCTGGTGTAGGTGGTGTAAGTGGCTGCTGGTGTAGGTGGTATAAGTGGTTGCTGGTGTAGGTAGTGTAAGTGGCTGCTGGTGTAGGTGGTGTAAGTGGCTGCTGGTGTAGGTGGTGTAAGTGGGTGATGGTGTAAGTGGCTGCTGTTGTAGGTGGTGTAAGTGGCTTTTGGTGTAAGTGGTGTAACTATAAATAATCCATAAAATACTCCAATCTTATTTCATCATACATTAATTGCATTTATACTAAATAATTTTCTATATCATTATACATATAATGACTGCAGAAATTAAACTTTTATAATAAACAAACTGATAAATTCTTCTGTAAGTTTTCATCAATAAACTGTTTCTTGTTAAAGTTCTCTTTCTCATGATTATTGATAAAATAAATAACTTGATTTATGTTATGTTCACTTGTATTTACAGTGAAAAAATCTGAGATGTCAGAATAATGATATGCAAAGAAATACTCAGATTTTTGAAAGCAGTTAATGGAACAAATATGACTAAAATTTTCAAAATAGCGGTAAGACTTGTTTTTATAATAGGGGAGAGACTGTGACTAATATTTTCATAGTAGGGGCATGATTATAGGCAATATTTTCACAAAAGGGGCAAGACTAAAACTAACGTAATAGTGTCAAGGAAGAATACAGAAATAGTTACTTAAAACAGTCATGAATTAGGATTTTTTAATATTGTCTTTCACATTATTAAATGTGAGATATAATGTGTACACTGAACCACATTTTCTGTTACCTTAATTCCACAGAGAAGTTAGAAACTAGATTTTCTAAACAGTTCAGTCATATATTGACAACTGGAACACACACATAATTGTTGACAGTACTGAAGAGGTGCTGATAGTAGTTGTACTCAGTACTTGGTGCTGACATTAGCTGATCTCTGTACTTTTCCCATTTTCTTATCTGGGTGTCAGCATGGTATGTTTACTACAGTACTGACACTGTAAACACCAACTGTAAATGAAAAGTTGAATGAATCATTTTTGTTAATTATTTATGCTAAGACGTCAACAGTGTTAGATATACTGGACATGTTAATTTTACAAAGAAAACTGCACATCATCTATAAGGTAATCATCTATAGGTAAACCCTTGAGGTTTGTGGTTCGATCTCTGGTACGGGTGGAAACATGAGGACATGTTTCCTTAACATACCTGCTGTCCATTTTCACTTATCAAAAAATGGGTACCTGGGAGTTAGTCGACTGATGTAGGTTGCATCCTGGGGACAAAATTGAACTAATTTGCCTGAAATGCTCTGCAATGATGTCAGCTAGGCCTGTATACCTAGTACATGTAATAGTAGAAATAAAGATTATTGTATGATTATTCTTTTTTTTTTCGCACACTGGCCAGTTCCCACCAAGGTGGCCCGGAAAAGAAGAAACACTTTCATCACTATTCACTTCATCATTTGCCAATATCATATTCTTTATCACTGTCTACTACCTCAAATGTTCTATTAAAGAATGTTAGTAAATTTGACAGGCAGGAACCAGGGCCGTATTACCGCATAGGCAAACTAGGCATTTGCCTAGGGCCCCGCGCATTTGGGGGCCCCGCGGTCCAAGGGGTTCAGGGGCTCATCCAAGACTGCGCACATGGTGCAAATGCAAAGGGGTCCCTACGTAAAAAGTTCAAGTGTTTGGAGAGTAAAATTGATTTTTAAAAAATAATCAAAACAAAAATAAATAATGAAATAAAATAAAATAAAAATAAACCTAACCATAGATGGCAACACTCAACACGCCTTTGTTTACATCAGAACAGCAGTGTTTTCCTGCTAATGGGTGAGTATGGGAGATTCCTCTCCAATTTTCTGTAGTTCATATGATTTGATAGTCTTATGCATGATGCAATGATAACAATAATGGTCAGTGATTTATAAAGGGAATAATAGTGCTGTAGTGCTTATGCTGAATATAATAGGTACATGATGTCACTACTTTAATAGCCTAATCTAGTAATACTATGCTGTCTTGAGTTTATTCTCTTTAAAATGCATGATTTAACAAGATAGTTATAATGGCTGTTGGTAAATGGTTTTGGTTGTCTTGATGTACTTTCCCTACTAAATTTAATCTAAATAGCCAGATTATTATTATTATAATCAAAAAGAAGTGCTAAGCCACAAGGGCTATACAGCGCTGCAGGGTAGGGAAGGAAGCAAGGGAATTGGATAGCAGAAGGGAGGGGGGATGATCAGCAGGTTACAGAAAACAGCGGGGCAGGGGATAGTACGGGGGTAGAGGGTAGCAAGAGATTGAAGTAGAAAGGGCTGAAGGTATCAGAATTTGTGAAGTAAGTCAGTTGTTGTCAAAAAGTCAATGAGAGAGTCCGGATGAAAGGTGGGTCCATCAGCGAGAAGGGAAGGTAAAGAGAGAGTAGCGGAGCGAAGACGACGACAGAGGTAAATTCTGTGTGCTCGTTGATAAAGTGGGCAGTCCAACAGAATGTGGCTGACTGATAATGGAGCTTGGCAATTCTCACAGAGAGGAGCAAGACGCCTCTCCATGAGATATCCATGAGTAAGACGAGTATGGCCAATGCGAAGACGGGAGAGAGTAGTCTCCCAACCTCGACACTGGTGATAAGAAGACGGCCAGTAACCTATACTCGGTTTAATAGATTGAAGTTTGTTGCCGAGCATAGTAGACCAATGTTGTTGCCAACGGGTGTGAAGGTGGGAAGATATTGCAGTAAAATAGTCCGTAAATGGAATACCTCTATAAGAAACTGGTAGGTCATGTACTGCTGACCGCGCAGCAGTGTCTGCCTGTTCATTGCCCTGTACGTCAACATGACCAGGGACCCAACAAAAAACAATATCTTTATGCTTGGTAAAGATGCGGCGTAGCCAAAGTTGGATACGAAGGACTAAGGGGTGAGGTGTATCAAATTTTTGTATAGCCTGTAAAGCACTAAGGGAGTCTGAGACTACCGCAAATGATGACACAGGCATAGATGCAATACGGATAAGTGCTGTAAGGATGGCATACAATTCAGCAGTAAAAATATTAGCCGAAGATAGTAAATGCCCTTGTACGACGCTGTCCGGAAACACTGCTGCGAATCCTACGCCGTCAGAAGACTTAGAGCCATCTGTGTACACAGCAATGGCATGAGAATGAGAGTGAAAGTGGTCAAGAAAAAGAGAGCGGGAAGCGACCGTAGACAGTTGGGCTTTCGAGCAAGGGAGGGAGAAAGAACAGACTCGAACAGCTGGAACTTCCCAGGGGGGTAGGGAAAAGTGAGATGCTACATGTACATAGAAAGGTGGTAGTTGAAGAGAAGACAAGAGCGAATGAAGGTGAAGAGAGAAGGGACGGAGTAAACAGGGGCGGCGAACAAATAAAGAATGTCTACTAATATTAGTGACCATTCTATAAATGGAAGGATTGCGGAGATCATGAGAGAGTACATAGTAGCGCAGGCAATGGGCATCACGGCAATCGGATAAGGATGGAACGTTCGCTTCTGCATAGAGGCTCTCGACAGGGGAAGAGCGAAAAGCACCAAGGCATAAACGTAATCCTTGGTGATGAATGGGGTTAAGGCTAGAGAGAGTAGCAGGAGATGCCGCTGAATAGATCTGGTCACCATAATCAAGTTTCGATAAAATAAGGGTGGAATGTAGGCGAAGGAGGGTTCGACGATCAGCTCCCCATGAAAGATGAGCAAGGGTTTTAAGAAGGTTCAGCCGGCTGTGACAAGTTGCCTTCAGAGAGGTAATGTGAGGTTTCCAGGATAACCTACGATCAAAGAGGCCCAGAAACTTGACTGTATCACGTTCAGGGATATGGAAGCCATAGAGGTACAAAGGCTAAATAGCCAGAATGTATTTAATTAGACCTTAAACAGGCTCACACTGACCCCCCCCACCCCCAAGTTGGAAGGGGTCACTTCACTTACCCGTAACTCAAAGGGGCCTCGCCAATCTGAATAGCCTAGGGCCCGGAGACTTCTTAATCCGGCTCTGGCAGGAACGACCTCTCGCGAACCCATGCTGAGACTCATTAATCAAATTATGCTCTTCAATTACCGTCCAATAAGCCTGACATCTATAGTGGGTCAGTTATTAGAATCAATTATAACTGACATTATTAGCTATAATTGATTCTAATAACTGGCCCACTTTAGATGTCAGGCTTATTGGACGGTAATTTGAAGGAATGGACTTATCCCCTGATTTGAATATAGGAACCACATTATCCATCTTCCACATCCCTGGCACAACACAGGTAAGGATGGACGCATTAAACACACTCGTTAATGGCTGACTAAGCACCATCTTGCATTCCTTAAGTACCCTGGAAAACAACTCGTCGTGCCCCGGGGACTTATTTTGCTTCAGTTTGTCTATCTGTTTGATAACCATGTCCCTCGTGACAGTAATATTAGTTAATTTGAATTCGTCAGGAACTGAATAATTGTTAATTTCTGGAATCTCATTTATGTCTTCCTGTGTAAAAACTGACAAAAATGAGTCATTAAATAAGGAACACATTTCTAGTTCGTTATCCGTCAGCTGTCCATTCCCAATTTTCAGAGGACCTACTTTTTCCTTCACCTTCGTCCTATACACTTGAAAGAACCCCTTTGGATTGGTCTTTGATTCATTAGCAACTCTAATTTCATAGTCACGTTTAGCCTTTCTAATCCTTTCTAATCCCCTTTTTTACTTCTTTTTTAAGCTGAACATATTGGTCAGTAAGGTTAATCTCTCCTATTTTTCTCCCCTAATAGATGCTTTAGCCTCCTATTAACCCATCTGGGATCGTTATTTTATTTTTTTTATTATTAACACATCGGCTGATTCCCACCAAGGCAGGGTGGCCCAAAAATGAAAAACTTCCATCACCATTCACTCAATCACTGTCTTGCCAGAGGGGTGCTTTACACTACAGTTATAAAACTGCAACATTAACACTCCTCCTTCAGAGTGTAGACACTGTATTTCCTGTCTCCAGGACTCAAATCCGGCCTGCCGGTTTCCGTGAATCCCTTCACAAATGTTACTTTGCTCACACTCCAACAACATGTCAAGTATTAAAAACCATTTGTCTCCATTCACTCCTATCAAATGCGCTCATGCATGCATGCTTGCCGGAAGTCCAAGCCCCTCGCACACAAAACCTCCTTTATCCCCTCCCTCCAACCCTTCCTAGGCCAACTCCTACCCCGCCTTCCCTCCACTACAGATTTATACTCTCAAAGTCATTCTGTTTTGTTCCATTCTTCTATATGTCAGAATCACCTAAACAACCCCTCCTCAGCCCTCTGGATAATAGTTTTGGTAATCCCACACATTCTCCTAATTTCCAAACTACAAATTCTCTGCATTATATTCACACCACACATTTCCCTCAGATATGACATCACTGCCTCCAGCCTTCTCCTCGTTGCAACATTCATCACCCATGCTTCACACCCAAACAAGAGTGTTGGTACAACTATACTCTCATACATTCCCCTCTTTGCTTCCACAGACAAAGTTCTTTGTCTCCACAGACTCCTAAGTGCACCACTCACCCTTTTCCCCTCATCAGTTCTGTGATTCACCTCATGCTTCACAGACCCATCTGCTGACACGTTCACTCCTAAATATCTGAATATGTTCACCTCCTCCATATTCTCTCCCTCCAATCTGATATCCAATCTTTCATCACCTAATCTTTTTGTTGTCATCATGACCTTACTCCTTCCTATATTCACTTTTAATTTTCTTCTTTTACATACCCTACCAAATTCATCCACCAACCTCTGCAACTTCTCTTCAGAATCTCCCAAAAGCACAGTGTCATCAGCAAAGAGCAACTGTGACAACTCCCACTTTGTGTGTGATTCTTTATCTTTTAACTCCACACCTCTTGCCAAGACCCTCACATTCACTTCTCTTACAACCCCATCTGTAAATGTATTGAACAACCACGGTGACATCACACATCCTTGTC